AGCTCCACCCAACCTTCAATGGTACAGTCCATGGTTATCTCAGCTCCCCCCCCCCCCAACTTTCAGTGGTAAAGTCCATGGTTGTCTCCCCTTCACCCCCCTGCCACCTTGAATGGTACAGCCTAGAGGCTGCCCCTCCTGCCCTTTTCCATGTGCAGAAGGAGATCATTTGGCCCATCTTGCTTGTGCCAGCTCTTTGAAGGAGCCATTGAGTTGGCCTCAGTGCCCCCCTCCACTGTATCCCAGTTTTAATTTGGCAGGGGAATATTCTCAACCGGAGAACCTTGTGTTAACGGGGATGTGTGGGAATGGGCTACACCAGAGCAATCAATGGTGCCCAGTAAAAGCCGTCTCTTTTCAGAAAGTGTGGGTGTCAGCCTGAAGGCAGCATTGGCGACTGTGATTCGACCAACGGAGAATGTATCTGTAAACGGAACGTGGAGGGAGCCCTGTGCCACAGGTCAGTCAGAGACGGTGAGACCCGTTCAGAAAGATTGCTAGCTTAACCAACCTGAGCTGCTCAGCTTGTGAAAAGGGAATTGACGCATGTGCTAGAGATTAGCATTGACCCAGGGGAGTCAACATAATGAAAGAGCTGGAAAAGGTCCATATTGACTGATTATCTTGCATTGTGTCATGATGACAACTGATATTTCAGTTGGACCATTTGTCACTTGATAGAACAGAACTTGAGAAATATTTTAAAAAAAGCAGGTTTTCATCCTGCATTCATCAGGACACCAGCAAGAATGCCACATTCCAAAGGGAATAATCATTTACATCAACTGAGTAACTGGTGCTGATTGGTTGGTTGGCAAGTAGACTCTGGTTGAGGCATTGCCCTGGACAATGCGTGTGAGTGCGTTTGCGCGTGTGTGTGTGAGCGAGCGCGCGTGCGTGTGTGCGCATGCGCGCGGATGGGAGGCAACCCCCAGGGTGGCGGATGCACAGATCCAAAAGAACGTTGATTTCTCGGCTCTTATCCACCCCAAACCCAATATCCCCTCTGCCCCTTCTCCACCTACAAGGCCCAAGTCAGGAGTGAGATGGAATACTCCCCACCTGCCTGGATGAGTGCAGCCCCAACAACACTCAAGAAGCTTGATACCATCCAGGACAAAGCAGCCGCTTGATTGGCACCACATCCACAAACATCCACTCCCTCCACCACCGAAGCTCAGTAGCAGCAGTGGGTACTATCTACAAGATGCACTGGAGAAACTCACTAAAGATCCTCAGACAGCACCTTCCAAACCCACGACCACTTCCATCTAGAAGGACAAGGGCAGCAGATACATGGGAACACCAGCCCCTTCAAGTTTCCCTCCAAGTCACTCACCATCCTGACTTGGAAATATATCACTGTCACTGGGTCAAAATCCTGGAATTCCCTCCCTCGGGGCATTGTGGGTCTCCCTACAGCACATGGACTGCAGCGGTTCAAGAAAGTAACTCCTGGGGAGGTGATGGCCTAGTGGTATTATCGCTGGACTGTTAATCCAGAGACCCAGATAACATTCTGGGGACCTGGGTTCGAATCCCGCCACAGCAGATGGTAGAATTTGAATTCAATAAATATCTGGAATTAAGAATCTAATGAAGAACATGACTCAATTTCAATTGTCAGGAAAAACCCATCTGGTTCACTAATGTCCTTCGGAGAAGGAAACTGCCATCCTTACCTGGTCTGGCCTACATGTGACTCCAGACCCACAGCAATGTGGTTGGCTCTTACCTGCCCTCTGGGCAATAAATGCTGCCAAGCAGTGACACCCTCATCCCGTGAATGAATAAAGGATTGCAACTTTCAGGAAAGTTAGGGGTGGTCCAAGAAGTAACAAATCCCATTAAAAAAAAATTAGCAGTCTTTTCCACAAGGAATAACTTGGCCACTCCTTTCTAAACACCTCCTAAAATATCATCTCCCATGGAGCATCGATGTGAAAAGTCAGCCTAACGCTGAGGATTGATGGGATGGAGTGGCTCTATAGATAGAGACATAGAGTCACACAGCACAGAAACAGACCCTTCGGTCCAACCAGTCCATAATCCCAAACTAAACTAGTCCCGCCTGCCTGCGCTCGGCCCACATCCCTCCAAACTTTTCTTATTCATGAACTTATCTAAATGTAATTTAAATGTTTGATGTTCTCCGTGAAGCAGAATCATACTGTTTTCCCTTGATGAGGCGACTGGTCTCTCATTGGAAAATTGATATAAAATCTGATAACTTTTTTTTTCTCTAAATCTGCAATAATCATGTGTTTCTGTGGTCAGGTGCAAGTCAGGAACTTTCAATCTACAAGCTCACAATCCTCATGGCTGTAGCAGTTGTTTTTGCTATGGTCACTCGGCAGTCTGTACATCAGCTTCCCAGTTCACCGTTCATCACATAGTCTCCACCTTCCAGCAAGGTATCTTTCACTGTTCGACACAGTTCTACAAAGATGTGTAAACAACACTCGTGAAGCTAGAATGTGTTTGTAAAAATAATAAGGAAGAACAGAAGGCAGGAGGCTAGAATGTGTTTGTAAACATAATAAGGGAGAACAGAAATGCGTGGTCCCTTTAGGAGATAGGGTGCTTTTCTAAGCTCGGGGATTTAAACAGAAAATATCTCCGAGCAGCTGGACAGAGAGTTCATGATTTGAAAGATGTATCGAAGGGTTATTCTGTTAGCAGGCCAAGCAGCATTTTTACCACGATGATAGTTTTTTTTTTAATTTAGCCAATTAATTTAACCAGGCCCTAGATACTGAAAGTCAATTGAATTTAAATCTGATGGTGTTGGCAACCTGGGACCAATCCTACAGTAAGAAATGGACAGGTCATCCAGGGTGTAAAAAAGAGGGCATTTGGAAAATTGGCAGAGAGCCAAGTACCATCTGAAGTGAAAGTAAATCCGTCATCAGAGACATAAACCCAGCTTTCACACAAAATCATGGAGCTCTCTTAAAAAAAACCCCATCAAAGGTACCACCGCATTTTTAGTTCAAAATCCTCACAGAAAAAATTACCGAGAGAACAGAAGACGTTCCTGACGGATGGTCAATGGAGAAGGCAGAACTTTTCAGAAGACACATTCTGTGTCAACTTGGAGAGATTAAGATTTAATTTATTGTTGTCTTATTAATTGGGTTTATATAAGTGGGACTTGTGTTTATTTGAATAGCATTCTGATAGAATTTTCTTCAGCTAGGGAATTGTTAGGAGTTAGGGAGAAATTGTTCAGTTTGTTAATAATCCTGTTAATTGGTTCACTGTTAGGGTTAATAAATAAATTGTTGCTTGTTACTTATAACGTGACTATCAGGAATTGTTTTTCATTTCACCTCCCGTTCTCTGAAGAGTTTAACAGATTAGGTGAGGAAAGACGAGGTTCTCTGGATGTTTCGGGTTTAATTATTAGAAGGGGACCTCTACTCCTGCTGTAACAGACTGGGGGCTTGTGTTTCGGTTTTAATTATCAGAGGGGTTCAACATCCCTTCCCTAGCAACAGCGGTGGTGGAATACTACCTACGGGCTGGATTTGGGATGTTAGTCAGTGCCAGCTGTGGTTCGGTGGTAGCAATCTGTCCTCTGAGGGCCTCATAAGTCATTTCATAAGGCAGCCCCCTCCGACAGTGCGGCGCTCCCTCAGCGCTGACCCTCCGACAGTGCGGCACTCCCTCAGCGCTGACCCTCCAACAGTGCGGCCCTCCCTCAGCGCTGACCCTCCGACAGTGCCCGCTCCCTCAGCACTGACCCTCCGACAGTGCGGCGCTCCCTCAGCACTGACCCTCCGACAGTGCGGCACTCCC